ATATGTTATACAAATGCAGAGATATACAGTATATTTTTTCCAAAGCAAGGGACTGGAAGGCTATAAAAGTGTATGTTTTACATTATGTAAAATTTTGTATGCCTAAATTTGTAAAGAAAATTATACTTCCATTGTTCTCAAAATCCATTTAAAGATGAAATACCTGCTGTAAATACCTCCATGGTTAAATCTTAAGTACCACAACAGCATAAGACTGAGCAGACTTTTGCATCATTTTATTTCCAAAATTAATTCTAAAGGTTGCTACTCTTTGAGCCAGTAATATATTCTCTTAGAACAGTGCTTCCTACACTGGGCTATACATCAAAGTTACTTGTGTTTTGTTCTGTTTTCCATTTACAAAAGGTAGGCTACGTTTATTTAGAGTCCCAGTCAGTTGCCTGATTCAGTGTGACTCAAGACAACAAAACCATCTCTCCTTCATTCTATTCTGAGTCCCATGGTGGGGCCCAGATTGGCAGGAGTGCTTCTTGGGGTTCTTCACAGGTTTACAAGTTTGTCACTGAGGGCAATTTGTGACTATGTAAGACTGACCAGGTAGGTTACCATCAGCAGCAGGTCACTGATGTTGCTGTTGAGGATGGTCTCAAAGTGATCAGAACCACTTTGGGTACTTGGTTAACCAGACTCATCAAAAAGTGGCCCACAGTATTTTCAGTGGACACCTTTCCAGACACTACATCCTCTGCATACTGCAACACTGTGCTCAGAGCATCCTGAATGCTGGCTGACATCCCTTGACTTGTTGCAAGTCACTTGAGAGGCCGATCACTGGGTTGGGACTAAAACAAGTCTTCACAACCAGCTCAACTCCAATGTGTTCAGTGTCAGAATATGTATATCTCACTTTCAGAGGTGTGAACATTACCCCCATGGTCATCCCAGGGACACCCATGAAAGTGCTCACACAGCCATTCTGGAGACCTGTGTCCATAATGAGGTAAATGGGGTTGGGGGTCTCTCAGCTGTGGTACTCATGGATCGACACAGAGTGCTCGGTGATGTCATGGCCCTTAGTGTACCTGCTCAGGATGAGTGCCTTTGGAGGGACTTTCTTGTGCAAATTCATACATGTTCTTAGAATCTCAACAGCCACCTCATCTTCAGACTCATTGTGAAGCACTGAAAAACAATTGGTAACTTCCACTGAGTGCTTGTTGACAGTTCCCAATAGGGTCCTCATTGCATCGCTCATAGCTGTCCACGGTGAGGTTAACATGACTGGGTTCAGCCAGACCACCTGACTGCCGGGGAAGGGCCCTGGGCAAGCCGGACCAGGCAGCGGTGGTGGGGGACTGTGCTGGGGTTTGCACTGAGGCAGGGTTCTGCCCCTAGGCCATGGTCCTAGCTGTTGCTGCCATCGGGTCTTGGTACAAGGCATGAGCCAGAGCCGGGAGCTGGGTAGGTCCAGGGCCCTGATAGGGGCCAGGGTCACAGCAGGCACTGGAACTTAAGTGGTAGGAAGAGCACTCACTGGTGGAGTCAGTGTGGCCATCTTCTCAAAAGATCTACTTGTGTTTGCTTTGATCATATACAATTCTGGGCCCACTCCTCGCCTACTGAACAAGACGAAATGGCTGGGCTTTACCTTGTCCACTCCCAGAACTTTGGTGAAGTGGCCACAGTGATTAAATCCTCATGACCTTCTGCTGTGAAGTAAATAGTATTACTGCTATTTAACAGACAGTATGCTAGGGCCCAGAAAACTGAACCTGCTTAAGGCCATGTACCCACAGTCCTATAATCTTTCTTGGAGAAACCATGTATCATGTCACTGGAATGGAATTAACCAAGAAAACCCATAATGTCATTGTTCTGGTTCCCTAGTGCTGCTCTGACAAGAAATTACCACAAATGGGATGGCCTCAACAAACAGGATTTTATTCTTACAATGTGGAGGCTTTAAGTCCAAGTTCAGAGTGCCAGGCTCTAGGGGCTGGGTGAAAGCCCCTCAACCTTGGGGTCCAGCTCTGCCTCCTGTTCCCGGCCCACTGGAGCTAGAGGCATTTCTTCACTCAGACAGCTGCTGGCTGCTGGGGCTGAGAACCCCCCAAGTTTGACAAGTAAAAAGGTACAGTCCCGATGTTACCAAACCACATGGCAGGCCATTAACTTAAGTCCGTTGTATGTCCCAAGGTCAGCAGAGCATAGCAGGCTGCTGAGCAGGAACACGGCTACATGCAGGGTCCAAGCGTGTCATAGGCTAGAGACCATTCCCAAAGCTTCTCCTTAAATACAGGAAGCAGACCACATCCCAAAGGCAGCTACTCAGCTGCTCCTAGTAGATTCCACCATGGAGTTGATTACCAGTCTCATCATGGGGAATACTATATCCAGCTGTCCAGCCACTCAACCAGGCCTAGCCAAGTTGACACACAAAACCACCACAGTCATATTCTTTTTAAAACCCAAGACCGACTATTTTTCCTTTCAAAGACTGAGTAATATATTTGCATAAAGATTTACCACCTCAGAAACCCAAAGGGGGTCGCTGAGTCAGACTCCACTTGATGGCAGCGAGTTTGTTTTTTGTTTTGTTTTTAAGTAAGTAGTAGGGAAACTGGGTAAAATATAAAGCCCATTGCTTTCACGTATTCTCTGTAATGCTGCATCTTATGAAAAGAGAGACAACCACCAATTTCAAAAAATACTATGTTAGACAAACATCGTAATACCAAGGTTACTCTATCAGAATGGAGTACATCTGATTGTGGAATTTTGCCTGTCTGGTCTATAATCCTTTCATTTTTCTCATTTTGTGGGTCCTTTCCTGGCTTTAAAAACTTTTTTTAAAAAAAGGTCCCAGACTGGAAAGAGCCAGCCCATGCCTCAAATGATGGCACAAGAGGTCAGCAGATGTGAGTGGGGTCATGTCAAGAAGAGGAGAGCAAGCGGAATGGACAGTGGAAAATGGGAAAATATGTCTTAGATTTATTTTCCTATGACCAAGGGTGTTGCTGTTGTTGTTGTTATGTGCCGTCAAGTCGGACCCAACTCATAGAGACCCCTCCTTGGGACATTTTATAAATGTGTCCAATCTGCTTATTAACATTTGTGGGCTTATCTACTATGTTTTTAATGTGATATTTCAAAATTCAATTCAGCAAATAGCAGAGAATGTGATGGGCATGTGAAAGGTGAATGGGTAGGGTATCCAGGTCATTCTGAATTGTTTCCACTTCCTCCAAGCTACTTAACTTGGGGACATTAACTTTGAATGTGCCAATATAACTTCATACTGTGTACTGATGTACATCATAGTAACATAGCTATTAGGTCAATATGTGAAACTAAAGCACAATGAATTCTACAAGAATCAAATCTCTAGAAAATATTAATTGTCATATGTGATTAAATTTGTGGCCATGGAAAACAAGCTGAAATAGAAAAGTATTTTTCTATTTGTTAAATGCTCAAGAAAAGGTTAAATTATACTCATGGAACTTATTTATATCAGGTATTAATGCACATTATTCACACAGTGAAAACTACAAAATCAAATGAAAAACCAAAAATCAATTTTCCATACTCATGGAATTGTGAAATTGCTACCCTTTCTGGAGGCATATCCAGGAATAATGTCTTATTATACAGAGTAGAAGATGCTAAGACAGACTCAGGAAGTGGATGTTTTCAGAGCTGTGGTAATGTGGAAAACGGGAGCCAAGTCAGCACTTACATTGACAAATTCTGGTGACATCATATAGTTATCTGTGCACCAGGCCCAGCCGCTCCTTAGGCTGCCAGATTCTATTGCCTTCAGGCTATCTTTGCACTTCCTTGATATCTACAAGTTGCAAAGTTATCCTCCTATGTCTTCTAAAATTGATACAAGAACCCCAAGAAAGAAAGGAGATATATTCTGTCTGTTTTGCAACTGGAGAAAAATTGAAAATTGGAATTGACATTGAATTTTGTTGAAATGCAAAGGATACATGTTCTGTCTGTTGAAAGTCAGTAGTAGCACCAAGGGGAGTAAAAAGGGTGGGGTGTAAAGATTTAACTAAAATTCAATGTCGATTCCAATTTTCAATTTTCTTCAGTTGCAAAACAGACAGAATATATTTTCTCTCTTCCTTGGTATCCTTGTATAGTTTTATAAGAAAAAGAAGATTACTTTGGGACCCTTGGTGATGCAAATGGTAAAGTGCTCAGCAGGAGGCTTGAATCCACCCAGAGCCACCCTGGAAGAAAGGCCTGATGATTCACTTCCAAAAAAAAATCAGTCACTGATATCTCTACGGAGCACAATTCTACTCTGCACACACGGGGTCACAGTGAGTCTGTTGACTGGATGGCCACCGGTAACCCTAGGGCACTCAAGGGGCTACAGGAGAGAGTAAGTGGAGTCATAACTGCAAAGCACAGAATATCTACCACATGGTTTTTTGCTCAAGAAATGTTAACTGCTATTGTTACTACCCTTTTTGACCCTCATCATCTCCTCAACTTTCCTTAAGTACCTTGTTTAAAGAGTTGTCTCTTATTTTTCCCTTCAAATGATAGAAATAAAGATACTTGACTAGCAATGTAGTCAGTGATAAATACCCATACCTCTTTTGCATGTAGAGCCCATCTGTGAATCACATTAAAGCTGGCTTCTCAAGAAAATTTCCAGCACATTCTATTTGCAGTCAGATGAAGTGGTAATTTTTGTAAAATATGGAATAGTTTGGTGCTAGGCAGAACATATATTCAGGCTCATAAACATAAACATTTTTTATGTAGCATTTAAACATGAACTGTACAACTCAAAAATGCCACAAAATATGAGCAAAATAATTTTAGAAATAAAGCTATATGTAGCTGAACGAAAAATGAGAGCAAGGAGCAAAGTAGCTGAGTTTTTGCTAGGATGTAAGAAAGTGATCATGGGTAGAAATTTGTTTTTGTGCATTGCTTTACAGGAAGACAGTAGCACATTCTAGAAATTGTCTAACATTATGTAGGAGGCGACTCTGGTAATCACTTATTCTGACCTTGTTCCCGCAGCCTCAGCCCAAGGCTGGCACCAAGATTTTCTTCCACGATGACAACGGTGTAATGATGTTGCATGAGGAGGTGCTGCAGGAGTTGAAGCTCTGTTTTACTGTAGGAGGGAGGCCGGTAGAGTATGGCTCTTCTGCCATGACTGCCAAAGCGTGTGTTCATCGATTCTTCGATCTAAGGAAAGAAGGAAGGCATAAACATTCAAGAGGAAAAGTAGTTCATTTCCCATGAAGGGCACCATATATGCAAATCAAGGGCCATTCCAAAAGATATTCTTGGAGTTTTTCTCTAGAAATGGAAGACAGATTCTGTGAAGGGCTGACAAGGACAAGACAACCTCATCTGTGAGAGTTGAAGGTGAACTGAATTTTTCTCACTCTTACAGAAAGATGAAACTTTTAGGCTGTTAAAATCGAAAGGCCCGAGAGGAATACTGCTGCACAGAAGTAGCTCAACTCCTGCTGAAAGTATAAATTAATAGCAGTGCCTGACATCTGAATACTCTTGTTATAAAATCTGTGTACCTGGCAGAGGAAACAGACAAGGAGGATGGGTGTCACCATACCACGGGACATGATAAGGAAGGGTGGGACAGAGAAACAACTTCACAGCAACCTGGGCAGAGACTAGCTTCTCTCACTCATGATGTAGCAAAAGGTGACTGCATCCCAGTGGGGCAGGATGGCCTTTAGGTATGAGGAGAAGAGAGCTACTGAATTATAACTATCTTAGGTTCTTTCCTCAATATTTTATTGTTCTCCAAAGTAAGTATAGCTCTCTCATGGAGATTCTTGGAATGCCATTAATGTTAGGGACATACGTGAATCCAAAGAATGCTGACATTTAAATGTACTTTCAGGTTTCCAGAAGACACTAGGTGATTTTCTAAAAGCTTGAAATTAAACTTTGATACAATGAAGACGTTTCTGATTAATGGAAAGAACAATGAGGTTGGGTGGGATTCGGGCAAAAGAAAAATTGAGAATATATATTTCTTTTAGTGACAACTTTGAATCAAACTATCCATTTTAGGGGGTTAAAATACAATATGTGGCATGTCTTTTTAGTACTTACATTTCTTCAAGGACTCCCATTGGCAATACAATTGACTCCACGTCTAATCAAGGAAAACAAGGCCATTGCCTTCCCCTTTCTCTCCTCCTCATATTATCTATCATTCCCACTCTGCTCTGTTGTGTTCCTGTGCCTTCTGATTTACCATTCCTTCCTCTGCCCATTCATTTTTCTACCAAACTCCAAATCAATCTTCAAACATTATTCTCTCGGAAAGTTTTAATTAAGATATATACTTCCACTGCACTTAGGAGAGGAAATTGTATCTCTTATACATGGGAGGTCTTTAGCATCAAGGCCTGTACTTACAACACATTTGAGTTATGAGGAACTGCATGTAACAACTTTTCTGTTGTTGTATGGCTTATAGTTAGTAATATGTGCTACATACAATGTTGCAGCATGTCATATGCTGGTATTATTGTTCAGATGTTTACTCAGATGTTTATTCTAAGATATTCAAAGATTGGCTTTATAAAGATATTGATAATAAAAAATAATAATAATGAAAACTTAAAAAAAAAAGAGGTATTCTACTTACCTCAGAAATGACTACATTGGAGCCATTAGAACAGAATTCTGTCCATAAGTCAGGAACTAACTGTATTGTCTATTTATCCTGTGTCAATCATAGCACATATCATGTTAAAAAAAAAAAAAAAAACATTGCCATTGAATCAATTCCCACTCATAGCTACCCTACAGGAGAGAGTAGAACTGTCCCATAGGGTTCCAAGGTTATAAATTTTTACCAAAGCACACTGCCTCATCTTTCTCCCTCAGAACAACAGTTATGTTCAAACCGCCAACCTTGTGGTAAGCAGCCAAATGCTTTAACCACTTTGCTGCCAGAGCTCCTTACACAGCACACAGTATGTACTAATACCTGGAGGGATTCAATAAACTAATGAACTGTAGTGCTCTAGCAAAATAATTGACAGATAAATATGGAGAGGAAGAAAAAACAACATATTTTGATTACAAGCCCCTTGAGGGCAGCAACTGTATTCTATTATTCATTGCACACAAATTGTTGCCATCTCATAGTCAACAGACAAAGTACTGTGTTGTTTGTTGAGGACACAAACTGTTGAGCCCAACTGCAAATGCTAGCTTCTATCTCCTGGCTCCATCAACATTACTTGTGTGACTTTGGATAATACCTTCCTCCAAATGTTACTATGAAGATTAAAGAGATAACATTTGTATATCCCACCTGAATTTAAAGACCAGTTGAAGAACAGATTGGACACATTGAATACCAATGACCGAAGACCAGAATGAGATGTGGTATGATATCAAGGACATCATAGATGAAGAGAGTAAAGAGTCATTAAAAGGACAAAAAAGGAAGAAAAGACCAAAATCAGTGTCAGAAGAGATTCTGAAAATTACTTTTGAATATAGAGTAGCTAAAGTGAATGGAAGAAATGATGAAGTAAAAGATCTGAGCAGATTTCAAAAGACAGTTTGAAAAGACGAAGCAAAATATTAATAATGAAATGTATAAAGACCTGGAGTTAGAAAATCAATAGAGAAGAACATGCTTGGCATTTCTGAAGCTGACAGAACTGAAGGAAAAAATTCAAACCACGAGGTGCAATACTGAAGAATTCTATGGGCAAAAAAATTGAGCAGACAGCATCAAACAAACATGGAAGGAATATACAGAGTCACTGTATCAAAAAGAATTCATCGACATTCAATCACTTTAAGATGTAGCATATGATCAGGAATCAATGGCACTGAAAGAAGTCCAGGCTGCCCTGAAGGAATTGGTGAAAAACTAGCTCTAAGAATTGAAGGAATACCCATTGAGAAGTTTCAACAGATGTAATGCTGGAAGCCCTCACTTGTTTTTGCCAAGAAATTTGGAAGCTACCTGGACAACCAAGTGGAAGAGATCCATATTTGTGTCCATTGCAAAGAAAGGTGATCCAACAGAATGCAAAAAGTATCAAGCAGTATCATTAATACTTGCAGAAAATAATTCAAAAACAACAGTTGCACCAGTACATTGACAGGGAGCTGTTAGCAATTTCAGCCGTATTCAGAAGAGGATGTGGAATGAGGAATATCATTGCTGAGAGCAAAGAATACCAGAAGTATGTATACCTGTGTTTCATTGACTCTAGAAAGGCATTCAGCTGTGTGAATATAACACATTATGAAAACATTGCAAAGAATGGGAATTAATTGTGCTTATGAAGGAACTATACATAGACCAAGAGGCAGTCATTGGAACAGATCGAGAGGCTACTGCATGGTATAAGATCAGGAAAGAGGTGCATCAGGGCTATGTAGTGCCTAAGGCATTTGACTGCTAACCACAAGGCTGGCAGTTCAAACCTACCAGCCACTCCTTGGAAGGAAGACCGGGCAATCTACTTCCATAGAGATATTGCCTTGGAAGCCCAAGGAGGGGTTGCTATGAGTTGAGACCGACTTCATGGCAGTGAGTTTCATTTTGGTTTATTCAGTCTGTATGCTGAGCAAACAATCTGATAAACTGGAATATTCGAAGGAGAATGCAGCATCGGAATTGGAGGGAGACTCATTAACAACCTGAAATATGCAGATGACATAACCTTGCTTGCTGAAAGTGAAGAAGACTTGAAGCACTTACTGATGAAGATCAAAGACTAAAGCCTTCAACATGGATGACATCTCAAAGAAAACTAAAGACTTCAGAACTAGACCAATAAGCAACACCATGATAAATGGAGAAACTATTGAAATTGTCCAGGATTTCATCATACTTGGATCCACAATCAATGCCCATGGAAGCAGCAGTCAAGAAATCAGACGACTTACCGCATTGAGCAAATCTGCTGCTAAAGACCTTTTCAAAGCGGTAAAGAGCAAAGATGCTACCTTGAAGACTAAGCCATTGCCTTGAGTCATCCACATGCCTCATATGCATGTGAAAGCTGAACAATGAACAAGGAAGACTGAAGAAGAATTGATGCATTTGAATTGTGGTGTTGGCAAAAAATACTGAATTTACCATGGACTGCGAGAAAGAAAAACAAATCTGTCCTGGAAGAACTATAGCCAGAATTCTAAGAGAATGATCATCAGACTTTGTCTCTGGTACTTTGGTCATGTTATCAGGAAGGACAAGTCCTTGGAGAAAACTATCATGCTTGGTAAAGTAGAGAGTCAGTGCAGACGGGGAAGACTTTCAACAAGACATACTGACATAGAGGCTGCAACAGTGGGCTCAGGCACAGCAACGCTTGTTGAGAATGGCACAGAACTGGGCAGGTTTCCTTCTGCCATAGATGGGATCGCTATGCATCTGAACCAACCCTTTGGCACCTAACAATTAACAACAACAACATATGGAAAATGCTAAGACCAGTACCTGGTACATATGAAGTAGTCTAAGTGTTTTTCAAATAAGGGTATATGCCAGGAAAATTGTTCCCAAGAATAAGCTCTTCCTGGCACATGCTACCATAGGTGCCTCTATATGTGTGATGACCAGAATGGAAAGAAATAGACATTAGCCAATCATACCTTCTGCATATGGTACTATGAGAAAATATCACTGATCAGATATTTTCTCTTGTTAGGTGATATTGCATTTTGTTGATAATAAAGCTACTTACATGCAAGAATTTAACTGCCAATTGGGACATTATCTCTTAGCAAATGCAATTGTCCAGAACGGTAAATCTCTAAGAAGGTATATGTGAAACTAATTTTAGGTTGCACCTTGAACGCAGGGGTTAGAGAGAACTGTGTAGCCCACAGGAGGCCAAAGTAAACACACGGGCATGAAGGTGAAAGGGGAAGACAGATGCTTCCAAATAAATCAGTGCCACTCAAGCAAAATGGGCAGCATCCAGAATCCCCTTCTCACATTATTCTCTTTCATAATCACAGGATACTCTTCTCTATTACAGCTGGCTCAAATATAGCGGTGATGTTACATGAACTCAAAAATAAATAAATAAATAAAAGCAATTGGCATGCATTGCCATGGAGTTGGTTCCAACTCCTAGCGACCCTGGTGGATGGAGTGGAACTCCCCCACAGGGTTTTCAAAGCTGTAATCTTTATGGACACAGACTGCTGCATTTTTCTCCCACCCA